CTATTTTAAAAAATTTACCAACAGTCTATGGAACGACGCATAGTGATGGAAGTGGCACCGATATCATCTAGCCCGGACGAAAGCCTAGTAGTAGGAGAAATCAGTTCACTGATTTGTCATTTTGGAAATACGGCGTATGTAGTCGTATCCTAGTACGAAATTTGTATTCCAAGCACACTCGCAACTGAAATCTCCCGAACAGATTTCCAATTGCAAGGATGTAGGAATATTTCGAGACTTCGCGTTCTTTTTCTTTGCTTAGAGTTATGGATCAGATTCAACTTTTTGCTTAACAAACTCAGAATTTCTTCCAGAAGTCAGCTCGCATAGCAACCTTACAAAAGCGCAGACGGAGTGAATGCTTATGCTGCACGGCAGAAATAGCAAAATTTGAAAGGCATTTTGCGTCACAAATAAGGCTGTTACGACACGCTTCAGCAACGGCTTGCAAACAGGAGGTAATTTATTGTGGGTCGGCCTACTTTCACAACTCTTCTCCCTTAACAATACTTTAAACCAGTAAGTAAGTTAGAACACCTCGAACTGGCTTCAGGCAAGACAAAATTCGAGAGAGGGTGGTGATGCTAAGTGCACATCAGTGATAGCTCAAAGTTACTAAAAGCTTTTCAAGTGTTTCTGTTGGGAGAACCGTTGAGCTGGTGATCATTTAAGGAGACGAAAGAAACAATAAAATTGTTAAAGGGGAACACTGTGTAAATGCAGCACTGGTCAAAATAACTTCTTCGTAAAAACGACTATTTGAATGGCTACCACAGAGATGGTACACCCAAGAACTAAAGAAAAACTGACACAAACCGGTAATTATTAGAGGAAAAAAGGTGCTGGTATAAGTGCGCCCTGCGTGTAAGCATCTCGAATAATATCGAGAGCTCCTAGTTGGATAATCCGGTAGAATGATTGAATTCAATTACAAACCACTAACGGTATCGGATTTTTCACATTTCTGGGAAAAGCAGAAAGAATTACCGACACACATGTCTATTTCGAAGACAGCCCTTATGGCGGTAACACATTCCACGAATGAAATTACTTTCTGGCGTTGTTTCTGAGCCGTTTTCTTTGTATTCGCACTGATCTTTCCCAAGACATACTTGAAGCAATCGTTGAAATGTTCAATAGCTTGACGCTTGCAGTCGCGTTGCTTGCGAGCGGAAAACGTATGAGCAGCATGGTATTGCTGTAATGGGCAATAAATAACACACGGAAAAATGACCAGCAATGTTAAGTCAGTGCTCTCAGAAATCCTGTTTACAGCCAACTGTTCTCTAAGCTGTTTTGATAAGCCCGATTCAGCTGCAATATGTATGCCATTCACTGGCTGAATAGATACCGATATCCCTAACATGCAGTGCAGTAGAGGAGCTCCAGCCGTAAGATCATATCCCCACATGTCTTTGCAGAAGCCAAGTCATCTCAGTCAAGTTAACTCTATCGAGATTTTTCACAAACTGTGCTTAGGTGCTATTATGATCCTGAAGATACCACTGCAAATAGTTCCGAAGTCACGCTTCAGGCGGCGTAATTTAAATGCAATTACAAAACTTTTATAGATCAGAATAACCAAAATCTAGTGCAGAAACATCGGTTATGGAAGAGAACAATTATCCACACAGTTCAAGTATTACTACTGATGGGGAATTAAATGTAGAATAACAAGATAACTGAGGAGAAAACGCGATGACCAACGAGCCATAAGATGATGTAGGTTCTGCAAAGCTGAAATCTCCAACGAAAATGCGATTTCGGCCTGGCGTGGGTGATATTACCAAGCTGTGCAAGCCGAGAAGAACATCTAAGCTAGGCATGTGGCAAAAGATACAATAGATGGCAAGACGATTTAGTGAATGTTGGCCACGCAATACTGAAGGAACACAGAGAAGTCAGCCAATGCGACAGAAGAATCCGCCTGATCGAGACGTTCACGAAAAAAGAATGTACAAGTTGTCACATGCACTAATGGCGAGAAAAAACGCGATGATGGGGCAATAGCTCATAAAAGTCTAAAAGTGTGTTGCTATTTTCAGCGTCATATTCCGTACACTGTAACGTTTTCGAGATTCGCCAACGAATGAGCTCGTGTAAAATCAGCACATACCACTTTCCATGAGAATCAGGATCATTCACAAGCCTAGTGAACTTGGAAAGGAGAACTGAGAACATTCGTGCCCGTTTCGTGGTCATTTTCTCCGCATAACTCAAGACATTCACGCAGACCCACGATTACTTGTTATCCGTGTCGCCAGAATATCTCAGTGCATACTGCAAATCAGCACATTGGGAATCAAAAGATAAAAAAGAAAAGTGGATTACGAGTGAACGTTCACATACCATGGACTGCTGGGCCAGTTTACCATAACGGAACATAATTTCAACAACAAGCTGATCCGCTAATACAACTATCGACGTAGAACATTTTGAAGAATTGCGAATGTATTCATATCCTGCGCTTGCACGCGATAAAAATTCGTGTACTTCGGATGTAAGCTGCAAAACAAATTACCCATCTTAAAACTTGGTAAAACTCTGCTCTGTTCTAAAAACTGGCTTTGAACAAGATCAAACTTCGGAATCACCGCATCTGCGCAACCTCACAAATCTTAATGCTAGTAAGATGCAGCCATGTGTCGAGCTCAACCACAGACTATTTGTAAATCGCCTGCCCTATTCTGCTTGAGACGGGTTCACCATCCTCAATCAGGTGCCCTATCAGTCCGGAGGTGTTCCGAGTGGCTGCTTTCTTTCCGCTGTTCAAGTCGCCCTGGTATTCAGTAGCATTCGCTGCACTGCAGATTAACAGCACTGGTTAAAAAACTGGTGTGGAAGTTTCACGTGTTACTAAAAGCCGCTCTTACCAATAACCATTACAAAAGAAAGTTTAGTAAATAGAACAAAATGCAGCAAATCTTTTTTTTAAAGCGACCGTTTTTTCAATACAAAAACGAGGATGACTTTCCCCGCTGTCTCAACACTGACTAAAACATACGGTTTACCTTTTGAAAATCGCCACATTCAAGTAATTTACCCATGTTATCTTGCAATCTTACTGCATAAGTGAGATATGTACCCGCGAGTTCTTTACTGATACTTTCAAAAAGAGGGAATTCGGTGCCCTTGAAACCAGTAGCACAAGCCAGCGCCTGCTGATAGAAGTCGATGGCCTGAAATTTTTATTGAATTGATCGGAGAGCGCCAAAAATTCACTCGAAAGAACCTCGCTAAACAAAAAAAAAAAAAAGAGGAAAGATAAATAAGAACGAAAGATCACACCAACCTCCAAAACTGTACTTTTCTCTTTCTCCGGTTTGTATGGCTCGCCGTAATCAGCAAGATACATTTGACAAAGCAGTTTAAGTCTATAAAATTGGCCGAGATTTGACAGTAGGAATGTTTCGTTGATGTGATCCTTGACCGAGTGGAACAATGAAACGCCCTGAAAACTTTTCATGCAAGAATTCGACAATAGAAGATCATATGGTACTCAAAGCATTCAGAACAAAAGTTGCAACCCCTCCCACTGAAAGGTATCAAAATCACCTGAGTGGAGAGGGAAAATGCATGATTTTAGCATGAACGTGTTAAATCATGACGAAATTGAAAAAAAAAAAAAAACAAAGAAATGAAGTCTGATGCAAAAATGCCGAAAAAAGATAGAAAGAATATCAAGACTGTTCCACAATCAGCCCATACATTTCAAGTTAGCAATTTTACTGAGATTTTTCACATGCTGATCCCTCGGCGTTGGGTTGCATAATTCCACTTGATGTCCGCCGCTTGTTGGATACGCGCAACACTTTCGATGGCCGTCCAAATGGGGGTTTATCTTTTTCGAAAGTACCACTTGCTAATGCGCGAAGTCCAGCAGTTGTCGATAAGGGAAGCAGCATGCCTCGGCTATTAGGTTTTACTTTCTCAAATGGTCGTAGTCACATTCTTCACAAGCTCATTTGACGGAGAGCTTGATGCTTATAGGATAGCGAAGAGGCACGCCAGGCATCCTGTGCTCCATCTGTCACAGCCAGCACTTGCTCCTCAAATTTTGTCGGTGATCAAGTTTCACATTCGTAAGGCACTGCCTTCAGCAAAGTAGTATTAAATTGGTTGGTTCTTCCGATCCGACGCCTTGAGAACACTGATGATGTTGAGAGATTTGAGTTCTCCGGATAAAGGTACACATTTTTTGGCCAAGACACACTCCTAACTTCACTTGCAATTTACTCGTAGGAATGCCGGTCCTTTGCACTACCATTGATGTTCAAATCCAATTCTTTACTTCTTGTGTTAAGTTCTTGAAGCATTTCATTTATCTTGTGAGGGCTGTGAACTGTGTGCGCAAACAATAAATGTTTTATTCTGCTTCATCTCTGGTTTTAAGACCAGCTTCCAAAACAACATCTTGAGGCAAGCTTTTACTGCTGATTT